GGGCGCGTTAATTTGCACTGCAGTGCAAATTAAAAATGAACGATAAATTGGCCTGCACTCAACCAATCACAATGAAGTAATTTTGTCAGTCACAGAAGAAAGCGACACACAACCACGCCAGCTAAACATAAAACGCACACAATACCAACAATTCTTAAGCTTTTAATTAGATGAGGAAGCAAGTATGATTCCATCACGCTTCGCTGTTCTACATCACCATTTAATCAGAGTGCAAAAAGGACCTGAGTTAAATTTTTGTGATAAATTCTAAATAGACGATTTCTCACCTTGTTCTATATTATCAAAGTCATCAGTCGAATTTGCAAACCTTATCAAACCTCGTAGTTTGATCTCCGGATAGTTAACTGTGTCGTTATTAACGTGATCAAGAGCAATTCTAAATGCTTCTTCTTCCATGGTTCTGTTCATTCCAAGTTCTGTAGAAAACACCGCCCCTGAAATATCACAGTGACGGGTATATTTATGCATGGAATGACATGATTGACCTTATTACTGATTATTTTAGCAAAAGTAGATTTCCTGCTGTCTTAAGAGGTGATACTGAATTTAGTCTAACAAATCAGTTTGGGGAGTTATTTTAGAAACCTTACGAAAAACCAAAACATGATTGTGGCGGCAAGCCGACAAATACAATGGAGAAAATGGTAAAGAAACTCAAAAAGATGAGTGTTCAGTGAGGCTAAAAATATGACTTAAGGTGGCTGATTCTTATTATAGAAACCTATGCCAAAGCGCGGTAGTATTGATTCCGACAAAGTATAGGTGATGGAAAGAGCTGGAAATTACTGTCAACCCCAATAAAGTGTATATGACAGATATTTTCTTATTTGCTTGATGGAATCTACATGACATCATGATATGGAAATCGAAAAAAATTGGATATCATTGTTCTTTTCACCGCGTCTTAGCTATCTGGAAACGTGAAATTTCACGTCCGGTTGGCTCACAGGGTGTGATGCCAAAAATACATATCTTTCGTAGATATTTACAATTTTGAGCCAAAATTGGAATTACGCATGATTGCCTAATTCCTAGTATATTTCACTTATTTTTTTTTTTCGTTTCTATTTGTTTGGTTCTAAAAACTATATCACGTTCTCATATATATACCGTCGAGCAAATAAAAAATATGTATATCATACACTTTAAAGGCACTGCTTCACTCTAATTAATAATTAATTTTTATCATTCTGTGCGATAAAGTTTTTGAACAAAAACTACTTTAGAGGACAGCTATTAAATTAGGAGGAAAATATCGAAGGCGTAACTTAATAATTGATAGAACAGTGATTCAAAATAGGTTTTATCAGATATCAACATTTATCAGATATCAACATTCAAAAGAAAATAAAAATTAAAAACTGATATAGTAGAAAAATATCAGTGTCATCATGTCGTCGTGCCTTAATTAGCCTCTAAAATTCACAATTTCCTTTTCAAGGATAGTTATTCTGTTGTCTCTCCAATTTACAACCGCTTGTTAGTATTTCAATTATTCATAAACTTCTGGAGTTAGAAGACGACACAAATCAGGAGCAAGTACTGGCTTTTAGCACCTGTTAATATACGGAACGTTTTTGGCAAAGATGTTTGACAGTTGTGCTTGCGTAGCCAATAAGATTGCGATTTTGGTTCATTGCTATGTTACTATCTTCATTCGTGTTAAATCATTGTGTCTTATTAATGTCACTAAACTGTCTTGACCATCCATCAGCTAAACAACTTAGGTTGATTCATTGACAGATAGAAAGTAGCTGCAGGCGTTAGTGGTTGGTTCAACCGCAAGACCATTTATTAAACACTCACGCCTGCTGTGTACATCCTCCATAAATCAAGTCATATGGAGAAAAATACTTAAATTGTTGTCCAGTTCCACTCTGCAGAGTACAAACAATGCACAAAACAAGTGCAAATATCTCACGCTATTGGTACCCTGAAAGGACGGTTCAACTGTTTTTTCTATAGATCTCTTAATCAATGCCCCTTTTCACCACGCGAGAGCGACAAAACACAAAATTTCGAGAAAGAACAAAGCTGGAAAAAAAGTCGCTCATTGAATGTTTAAGCATATAGCTTCACTGCACATTTTTACTTGATTGTGTTTTGACTCTGAGGCTCGTAGATATACACAGCAATACCACATTCTGGAATTTCTAATATTTCTCTCAACTGTTAAAAGGCACGTCCTGCTTCTAGCTGCCGGAACACGTTCGTTCGATACTGTCCTCCTTCTTTCTAGATACAGCACAGAATGTTAATTCGAGTTTTAAAGTCGCAATTCAGTTTTCGTATGTTTCTTTAATATAGAAAGGGCCATTATGAAAAGTGGGCAGTAACGAAGAATTTTTTTACAAAAGAAATTTGAAAGGTGTTTTTTTTTCTGTTATCACAAATTAAAATTTTTGTTATCATTAGTCATCCATAGATTACAGAAACCCTACAGAGCTTTCACTTATTGCTTATTCTTTGTTTGAATTTCAACCACTGTCATATATGTCACGTTATATATGTCAGTTCACTCAAATATCTAAATTGCTTTAAATGAAAGCTCCATGATTAAATAACCGTCTAACGCCGTTCTTATTTATTTAAGACTTCAAATATTACAGACCGAATTTAAAAGCCTTGGCCGTATGTTCTCCTGTGCATTATTAATGACTTCAAAACCACCGTATGCTGTGTTCATAAACAACTGCATATTTAAGGAAGCTTTCTGTCAACCCAGTCAACCTGGTAATCCCAAACATTTCACAATATCGAAGCTTTTATCTCCATACACATTTCATTATAACTCTAGATCAGTTAAACATCGCCCTTTAGAACTCTCTGTTGATGTTAGTTAGTTATAAGCATATGCTAACGGTAAAAAGAAATGTTATATAACGCTGACTTGAAATTTCGTCACACCGTCTAGCGATTAACGCACATCCAAAATGTTTTGTCAACTCCCAAAGGAGATTAAGAAATAGCGTCCTTATGAGATCGAAAAACTGTCAAGCGGACATTTTACGCATACGAACAAAGAGAAAACAGATCAAGAATCAGATATAGTCTACCACATAATATTAAGAATTAGCATTGAAGTGACACAGGAAAAATTGCGTAGCTATCATTACAAAGAGGATTAATTTTTAGACCTTCACACGGTGTAAACTTTGTCACGATATGCAACTCACCTATGGATATTTCAGTCAGTCCTTGAGTTGGAGTCACCATATTCAGGGAAAGCAGGCACAGAACAGCAAAAAATCCAAGACTTCTCAAAGATGGAGACATGACGGTTCTTCACAAAGGATCCACTAATAACACTTAAAATGAATGCAAAGTGTCAGACATTTAGCGATTATCATTTTGCTTCATGGCTAAGACTAAAAAAAGAAAACGTTTAAGCAATTTTCCCATATTATCATCAGAAACTTTACCACATTGAATACTGTTGTTAATAATGAAATTTTGAGACTTTCATAAAAGTTAATCACTATCCGCTGGGATTCGTTTACGTTTAGCCTGAGGAAACCCCCCCGTTGAGTACAAAACTTCAGTGCGAATCAAACCTTCCTGAGAGGCAGCATATACAATTCCGTACTTGTGTTCAACATTCGACCCAAATTCATTTGGTCACATATTACTATATACCGTATTCACTTTGTTTTCGCTTTTAACCGTATTGGTTTACAATAGTCTTTGTCTGAGACAATCCAAGCAGGTGCTTGGCCTATATTCAACATCAGCAACGCGTAATTCCAACCTGCACCTACAGCAACGTTAACATAACATAAACCAGACTTCACCGAGACCACTTTGTTAAAGCCACGTTCTTTTATCAACGAAACGAAGAAAAATTGTCTGTAGAAGACACTTACTTTCTACCTATTAGACACAACAAATAGCGCATTTAATATAAACTGTGTTAGCAAACTCGTCCTGTTTTATAATAGCATCGGTAAATTTTATAACGGTGATGAACGATATATAGCAAAATCAGTTTTCTTGAATGAAACCCGCAGTCACTTTTCTTACCTCAAAAGTCGAGGAATGGGCCCTTGCAATAACTTTCAATTTGCAGCTGATCTACCGTACCGAATTTGAACCAGCTCTTTTTCAAATTACCATAGTAATTTATTCTGTTAAAAAAGTTGATTGCCAGAGTAACAACCGCCTTGTGCCAGCGACAAGCCGTAGGAGTCTATTCAATCACAACTGGGTGAACGTTTGACAGGAGTAATAGTTATGAGAACAAGAAAAGCAGCCGAAATGTCTCTGCGGTTGTTTCAATTTCAATTTTCTCCAATAATAGCTCTTGGCTAGTACTAGGCATTTTGAATGATTTTCTGACATACTTGAAATGTTAGTGGTACATCAATAAAAGTGTTAAATTAATTAGAATTTCAGTTCAATTTATACAGAATTTTGTGGCTTTAGCGCGGTGGTTTTCGATTGCCTGGTGTTTTAACGGGGTTGCCACATTTTGTAATAAAAGTTTAAAAGGTCCATGGTAAATTTTTAATACAGAAATCGTATGGAAATTTCGAACTGCACATCCCAACTTGTGTAGTTTTCAAGCCGGAAAGAGGACAAACCCAATTTTTTTCAAGGTCAAGACATGCTGAATACTGCGAATATTGTATTTCTATAGTTTTTACACCATTTAATTAAACGTGTCTATGGCTCATGGCGAAAGCTTATGTCCTTATATACAATAGACCATTTACCGGTACATGTCTACCAGAAAGTTATGTTGCAGTTAAAGGTTAAGGTGTTTAAAACACGCGACTAAAAGAACTTACGTTTTTAAAGAAACTGTACGGTCACGTTTTTAACTTTCCATATATTTGATTGTCAACCCTTTCCAAGATTCTCTACAGAGTAGGCATAGAAATTTGAAAACGAGACTGCATGTTTTTATGCAAATCCACATCCCTGAAATGTGTTCAGTAAAGTCTCTTTGCGAGACTTCGTACCCAGGCAAGGGTTCAGTGCCCAAATTCTGGTGTGAATACTTAGAAAAAAGGTGCCTTCACATTAGTGCCTAGCGAGAATCGTTCTTGGGCAGTGTGAACATAGCCTAAGTAACAGCAATGGAACTTTAAGTTGGAGTCACAACCCTCTTTCTTATTTACAGCAAGTTGGCGGTCTGTTTCTCCTCCAAATTTGATATACCAATTGATTTTTACAAAGAAGTTCTATATGCCTGGCAAAGAATGAATTGCAGTGCTCTTCACAGCAAACAGGAAGTATTAAATGAAATCGTCTGGAAAAAACGTAACATTAAAATGGAAGGATATTCAATGTCTCACAAATCAAAGTGGCTTTAAGCCACTGAACTTGGAAAATGAGTTATGAAAGGCTGAAAGTTGTCTTTTCATTTTATTAGGTCATAAGGTCCACTTCCAGGAAATTCCTGTAATGCTCTTACTGAATTTTCAGTAGTTACTCGAAAATGATTGGCTCTTAGGCAGCTAGGCAACGGTGAAAAAAAAATGCTTTGCTATTGTTTTGCAACAGTGGTGTCTCGTATTTAGAAGACTGGCGAATTTATTGAAGAACTAAGGAAAGGAGCAAAACACTAAACACCCAAAGAATGTTTTTGTGGAGTAGAGAAGTGGAAATCCGAGCCAAAGAAATCAAAACGAACGGCCAGTTCTACCTTTCGGTGTAATCGATTATCTCTGCCAATCTGGTACAAGAAAACACCAAAGAGCAAAACTAGCAAAGACATTGAAACAAAGAATATGAAGGAGAACTCACCACTTAAAGACGCCTACTCTTAACTGAGCAGTTACCAACCAAAGCGCAAAGAAGATTACGCTAAAAGGAGTTTCAGTGCACCGAAATGCGCAATAAAAAAAAAATCAGACGTCAAAGACTTGACGGCCACGACTCCGGAGGCCAACGAGAACAACAAATGATTTCAAGAATAACTAACAGCAGAGTTCCGCATCCAGGAAGTGTCTTGAATCAGTTGTGACCACCAAAGTTATCCACAGTTTATTAAAAATACAGCCTCTGTCGCTTCTTTGCTCCCGGCCCTATTGTAGCTGCAACAAACGGCTGAGAAAAGCTCACCCAGATTTAGTGGCGCTAAGCATGGTCCATACTTAGCTCTTATTAACCGAGCAGGAGGTCTGTATGGGTGAATCTTGACCGAGGTAGTGAGTACAGACAGAACGCAGTGAGGTCTGTACACGGCACGACCGAGGTCAAGATTCTCCCATACTGACCGACTAAGTTCGGTTAATAAGATGTTTATTTTATGGCAAACAAGAACAATTTAATTCGCTTAATATAACCGATTTGTACTAACTGACATTTTTCTCGCGAACGGCGATGAGGCGAACTTAATCTTGTCAAAGTTTGCCGTTTACTTTTTTTCTCTTCAGGCTTTTTGGCTCTTCCATAAATAAACATTGTTAGAAGAAAATAGTCAATATTTTTGCGTTTTAGTTTGCAACTTTTTCACCCGAAAATGTAACCGGTCTAGGTGTCTGTCTAGACGGGAAAATATAGACCGCTTTCAATACCGATTCCAGCCAATCAAATTCGTGAATTCGCTAGTTCCCAGTCCTTGTGTGACACAGCCATATAATAAAAGAGGATCTTCACTAAGGAATCTGATTCCGAGTAACTTCTAATCGTCTTCAAAACGTTTAAATCAAGTTTAACTTTGCCCAAAGAGGTGTCTTATCATTAAGTCGAGGGTTTTTCAGGCGCATTACATTGTTCAAAAATAAAGTTTCATTCAGCTGATTTGTGCGTTTTTCAGCTCACTGAAACTCACGGATCACTGAAGTGGTTTCCTACAAAATTACGCAACCCGCAAGTTTTGCTTTTTAATAAAAGAAATTTGACCGTCTGTGTTATAAACAAGTAATCGCATGATTCTTCGTAAGAGGCTATGACTAAGGAAATCACTTCCTTCCAAGAGCAGGCCAATTTATTATTAATATTAAATCTGCACTGCAGTGCAAATTTGCGTTCGTTTATTTCTCAGTCTTATAATACAGGAGTAATCGTGTGAAAGCACGAACAATCAAGGATTCACATAACTCGCAATATTTGTGATTATTTCAAATTACATTCGCCTAAAGGCTCGCACAATTTTGAGAGAATTTTAAAATATCACTCGTAGTGTAAATCCTTAATTGCACTCGCATTCATACGATTACCTATACAAATTGAGGATTAATATTACTTGTGTTTTCGGAAGTTGCAGAAATTGCCCACGTACTACAATTTCGGCAACTTCCGGAAACACGAGTGATTTTAATCCTCAATTTTACTCGGCCTCATGCGGTTATCCATACCACATGCTTAATTATTGAAGGATTTGAAAAAAATTGCTTTTACGTTCGTGCATATACACGTATACATTTCAGAAGGCGTTTGCTTTTAATCAAACAGACATGATCAATTCAAATAACTATTTAACAAGAACTCTTCAGTCAAGTTAAGAGTGTTACTATCAAGGAGCCTGAAACTAAATTTTCGATCGCCACGAACAATGCCGCCAAAAACATCGAAGGATAGCCTGCGTAGCAAGCGTTTCCGTGGAGTTGGGGAGCAAAGAAAGACCGAGGAAGGGGATTTTCGGTGTTTTGCCCGCCCGAAAAATGGGGCGAGAGCCAAAAAAAGAAAGAGGGGCTTGGGGGAGGGGAAGGAAGGAAACGCTTGTAGACAAACCCCTGGATTTTGAAAACCCCGTTCACCAGCGAACGGCGCTCGTGATTGACTTGGCTAGTCGAACATTTTTGACATGTGTTGATCAAAGGTGAGCCAGAATCCAACATGGCGGAAGAAGGAGTAGACGCGTTCAGAGCTTGATTACAAAAAGCTTTAACTTTTCTCGCCGAACGGGGATTTAGATGTGAGCTTCGACAAGAGACATAGAGACTCCTAAGCGATTCAGTCTTACGAGATCTTCGCGTTTTGCACCGCTGTGGAACAGTACGGTAGAAATCCTGTAGTGCAATGCCGACGCTTTGGGATTTCGAAGCCTGTACATTATTGCAGAAGCAAGTGACAGTATTTGCAGCTGTTCCTTATATTTTAACATTACTTTCTTGAATGCCACATGCGCCAAGAACAAGATAATAAACCACGGGACAGAAAATTCGCACCTACTTCCTCCAAGAATACTGTGTTGGAAAACCAAGTGATTTCGTCTGGCTCATTACATAGCAACATGCTTTCGGATTTTATCGTGTAGGTACTCTGACATTTCATTGAAAGCATTTTTGTTGACAGCATTTAAAACCTCTGGGTACAACTCTGAATGATTTGTTATAGTGTTAGCTGCTACATGTTAGTTTTTGTCACATATTTGCTTTACCAAACATTTAGTCTTCTCGTCGCGGGGAATTCTTAAGCGAACATTTCCGGAGTTGGTTTTAAAACCAACTTTGACTTGGAGGCCGCCTTCGCCGGAAAGATTATCTATATTCAGATACTGGTCAGGATTATCGTTATTTTCCTTCTCAGATGTTTGAAGTCTCCCCTGCCCAAATTCAAGCTTGATTTTAAATTACCAAATTGAACTTTGAAATTGTAATTACAAAGCTTACATTGGTAGATCGGACTCATCGAGATTTCTTCATGCCCACCGTACGCTCGTTGTTTCGGAAATATTTTGAAAAGTTAAAGTTTGTTTTGGTTCAACACGTGTCCTCGAAAGTTCACTTCCGCCACGGAAGGCCAAAGATTTTATTGGTTAATTTATGACAGCCGATGACAGCATGAAATCTCACTGTGCGCACTCAGGCATGAAAGGCCAAGTGGGCGGTTTTTCAAAATCCAGGAGTTTGTCTGCAAGCATTTCCTCCCTTCCCCTCCCCCCTCTTTTACGCGCTCCATTTTTCGCGGGGTAATTCTTTGCTCCCGAACCCCACGGAAACGCTTGCTACGCAGGCTAATCGAAGGATAGAGAGCATCTTTTGAAATTCAAGACTTGTGTGCTTCTCTCAGTATCAACATTCAACAACAAGTAATTTAAAAAAACATCAACGGCAAAGTAATTTTACTAAATGGAATAAGGAAGACATCCGCAAGATCCTCAGGGATCCATATGTCGATAAGCTAAAATCTTCTCTGGGAAATATTTGTCAGTGAAGTTCAAGAACTATAAACGATTACATTCACTAATATGAGGCTGAAAAAGGACTAACTGGAACAAAATATTCCACTGTGGAAGGATGTAAAACTGTACCCGGTGGTGTATTCCTGAAGTTAAAGCGAAAACCTCAAGAAGACACACTCGTCCACTTCAATCATTAGTAAAATAACAGGTCATAATAATTCAAGCACTTATTATTCATGCGAAAGCTGGAAAAAGTTGCGTCCTGAACAGTCGACCTTTGTTAATGTGAGAAATTCTAATACCGAACAGAAACCTTCTACTATCATTTGCATCATAAACACATGCAAAAACCAAGCTTCGACTGACTTTTTTCATCTCATCAGTAACAAAACATAGGAGCAAAAATTCTTATAGCTTGGGGCGTTTAGAAGCGGGCGATCGATGGGATACACAATTTTTCGCGGGTCCCCTTTTCTCCAGATATTGAAAGAGTT